ACACAGCAATATGCTGGATCATGGGGCCAGCCGCCACAAACACGTTCCCTCATTTTCGTCCAACCACTTTTTTCGAAGAGTCAGTATGGGGCATATCACTATCCGGGGTCATTAGAGGTTTCTTAATGTGCTCACTCTTCAGAGGTCACAGGAATATTTTCCCTTACACGTTGCGAACTAGTTATTTCGTCAATAACCGGCGTACTGTGTGTGTTGCTAAATAGACTGCACATGTGGTAATAGCAGTAAGCACGTGTAAAATCTCTGCAGTGATGACGTCTCAACCATGCAGACTCATACAATATATACCAAGCAATTAAGAGGTGACCGTGAGTATTTAGGCTTTCCTCATTCCAGGTGTGAAACTGGTCCCCATTGACATTAGTATACACTTGTGGGTCTTATGTGGTTTAAATGTTGAAGGTCCTTCAGGTACGGGCTAACCTCTCGGACATGCCCTTGACGTATGGGATGATAACTAATCCCCTATTTTTTGTTTTTTGGGCGTTCCCCTTCTTTTTCAATTTGTTGTTGGTTGCTTTTGTTTCTATTTTCCGTTTTGTGTCTTCGAATGTCCAATTAGGGTAGTCGCAATTTCGAAGTGCGTGTCGAATCTCTTGTTCCTCGGCGCGAATATCTTCTGGTTCTGTTACAACGGTGTTGGCTCTATCTAGTAGTGTGTGACGACTCCCAGTTTGTGAGTTATCGGGTGGTGAGATTTAAAGTTCAGATACTGATTGGTATGGGTCTTCTTTCTGTAGACCACGGTTTTTAACGTACCATCTTCTCTGCTCACAATGGCTCTACAGTGAGTAGAGTTCTCTTCTTCAAGGTAGTGTCATCTTTCAATTTCTTCCAGATCACCTCAAGGGTTTTATTTACCGGTGTGTTGGTAAATAGAGAGACACGTCGAATGACACTAACGTTTCATCTTGTCGTAGTTTTTGTTCCTTCAGTTTAGTGACTAGATCCTTGGAATTTTCTACATGGTGTATAGTTTTGCCAACGATCGGTGATAATAAGACCGCCAAACTGCGGGACAGGTTATAGCCTATGGACCCAGTATAGTCCACGATAGGCCGTAAACCGTTACCACTTACCTGGAAACATCAGACCTGAGGAAGTCTTTTGGAGAGATGGACGAAAATTTCGTCAGTGCAAGTTATTTTTAACTTAGGCGAGAATTTTTGTTGTGTTTTTTCTTGTTGGTTTACAGATCCGCCGACCCGAATTTTCAAGGAAAACGAAAAAAAAAATATTGAAAATCTGTATTTTTTATTCCCGCCGACCTTTTCTCTAAGAAATATGAATAAAAAAAAATTTAAATGTAAAAAATAAAAACATTTCATAAACATATAGTTTATAATAAAAGTAAAAATAATTACAAGTTGAGTTTTGTTTTCATTTAGTTTTCTTAAAATACTTTAATATTATCAAGAGCGTAAAGGGTAAAGGGTAAAATGCTGAAACCATGCTGCAGTATTAGTCGAATTAATAAACTTTTCCCGTTTTATTTTGACGATCCTTTGCAGTATTATTGATTAGCTGTCTTACCTTATTCATATAAAACAAACCGCATGTCCCTACGATGCCCCTACGCTGAGATAATGAGCGGTGAAAATCTGGTATTTTCACCGAAAATCGACTCGAGATCAGTGTGAACTGCGTGATGATGATGATGATGACGATGATGATGATGATGACACTGGGTCCGATGTAGAGTAGAGCTAATCATTCCAGACTCTTAACATTGCCCTTACATTGTCTCGAGCTTTTAATAGTGCAAACGTTTCATTTCTTTAAATTTTTTCCTTGGTACAGTCTGTGTGTCCGGAACATTGGTAGGCCTACCATACAAAGTGTTGAAAGTGAAATATTGACCCCAGAGACTTTTAAAATGGCATATAATGTAGTGGATCTACAAACTCATACAAGCACATTTTTTGACAAATAAAACACCTTGGTCTGACCCTGATTTAAGCCTACAACTATGTAGCTCACCTACCTTTACCTACATTTTCCAGCAGATATTTACATCTATTTTAAACTACATGTAATCAGGGATGATCATGATATTGTACATGTACGTTTTAGGTATAAATTCTTTTAGAAGGATGTAAAAAAACAAGGTTTTGCTGGTTAGCGGTATGGCAATGATCTTGACCTTAACCACAGATGACCTTGGTATACCAAACTTCTATTAACTAGCTAGGAACTTATCTCCCTGTAGTATTTGACATTAGTATTGGTTATGTGTCAAATAATCCCAACAAATTAGAAGCAGATTGACATCTTACATTTTGTGCATTTTTCTGGCCCAAAAATGGCCGTTTTTGAAATGTATTTAACTACGTTTCATACTGTAGCTCAGAAATAAATAAAGTTCACATTTTTAGGATTAAACTGGACTTGGACATCTTTTATCTTCCATCTGAGCCCATTTTGGATGAGAAAATCTAATTGGTGTGGTAACTGTGGTTTTTTTTTGGCGGATGTTCCGATTTTAAGCAGGCGTCAAATTTTATGACCTTTTGATTTCTGGTGTCCTACATGAATAGCATATCAGCATATAACATATATCAGTGTGTAGGGAATACAATTTCCAACATTTTGAGTGGTAATTTGTACTAATTGGACAATTTGTTAAAAATATACTGAGTTTTCATATCCCCTACCCCCAGATTTTGGGTCCGAGGTCTGAAGCGATCATTCACATTCAACAGGTCATTACTACCACTAAGCTGTGGATGCTGGGTTGGGCTCAGGTTTTTTTCATCTATGGATATAGGCCTATCAAGAAAACATAGTGAGAATTTTCCACACCAGGTGGTACCAATCCATGATATTTTGGGCTCTTGTCCCACCGTTTGGCTTCACCTAGTGGCTCTGTGGCAATGAAAGTTGAAAACAGCACAACCCGCTTGTTATCGTACCAAGCCACAGCGGCTAAGTTGAAATGTGTGTTGATCTTGCGCCACGCCCATTTACCTCCAATTGTCTCTCTGTCTTCAGTTCTACACGACCCATACGTTGCTTCCTCACCGTACCAACATAGTGAATTCCCAAATTTTTGAGTTTCACACAGACGTGACGAAGAAAACAGATTGTCAGCATATACTTTGTAGTTCACATCTTTCATTAGCGTAGACACTAACTTTAATACAACATCTTGCCCTTGCCCTAGTTCTGTACACTGACCGGTCCCACCTTGATAGATTTCGAAGTCATGCACCATGGCTTAATCACTGGTACGCACCCAGATTTTGAAGCCCCATGGGTGGGGCTTTCCCTTTACGTACTGTTGTATTGAGCTGGTTTTGCCTTCGAAGGCCACCACCATTTCATTTATGGCATTGAGTTCTGCTGCAATCAACTTCAGACAGTTCTGCTGCAGTGAATCGATCCATGGTCGTATCTTCCATATCTTGTCCTTCTTTTTCTCATTGTCGGTTACAAGCATGTTGTCGGTAAAATGTATTACGGTTGGTAATAGCGAGAAATGATTCTGCGACATGATCTTGTTGAAAAACTCGCAGCCCATATCGCGCTCCCAGTAGGCACGTGTCCCAGGCATTTGACAGAGTCCCATGCGCAAATAAATTCCGTAACCTGTTCGAGTTCCTTTCGAGAAGTGTTGACACATGTACCATTTTTTTGCAAACTGTAGACATTAGTTTGCTCAGTCATATTGTCCAACATTTCTTTCGTAACAAATCGATAAAAGTACTAAATCGGTGTGTACGGTTCCATTATTCCTTCGGGCAATGTATACTGGGGACCTGTAAACTGTGTGTTAGGCGGCTGATATTGATGAGGAGGCCCCTTAGACCAATTTGCACCTGCAATGTTAATAAGTGGTTCATCATCACTGTCAGTGTAATCAGAAGGTTGGTCATCATCACAAGTTTGGTCATCATCAGAAGGTTGGTCATCATCAGAAGGTTGGTCGTTATCGGACTGTTCACTTTCATCTGAATCAGAAGACGATTTGCCGCCACCATCAACGTCACTGTCATTTGTATCGATAAGTGCTAGAACGTCATTAACACGATATCTTACTCTTGTATGCCTGGAAGCCATTTTTATCTGCAAATATAGTGTGACATGCCGAATTGTCACAGGGTTGTTGTGATTGTTTGGTGCTGCCCTCGAGTGGCGAAAGGAGAGAAAAGATAGACGGCAGCACTACAGAGAACAGATGGCAGCACTAGGCCACCATGCTGGATCAGATAGAAAGCAGAAGAAAGCATTCTGCTGATTTAGATTAGTAATTTCTATCAGTCAACATCTACGAGGTGAGAGGCATTATGCCGCCTGTAAGTAATTGTAACTGTAGAATTAAGTGCATAGATAAGGATAAAGATATTTCTAAGACCTGAACACATGCCATATCTTGTAAAAGTTGTTGACAAAGATGAGCAGATAGCATAGGCTAGAAATGTGCATGATTCAGCATCATGCGTATGTACATTGTGAATGTAAGTTTTCTTGAGCTCCGTTTCATCAGGAGTATGGATAGAGTCTGATATGATGTGTTTCAACGTCAAGATTTAATAACAAAGTGTGATAAAGTTGTGACTACATGTTGGTTACTTTGTATCTATGCCAAGCAATGCTTTTCAATATCACTAATATAGTTAGTGACTGTTAGTCCATATGGCATTCTTATTGTTTCGATGATATTCACGTTATTCCGGTGACATTTACAATGTTTGATTATTAGTGCGTTCGATTTGCTTCCCCAAGTTAACCTGGGTCTACTCGGGCCAGCCCCAAATTCGTTCGATTTGGCAGTCACGTGGTATTTTTGCGTTACCCGGGTCAACCCGGGTGAGGACGAAGTGAGCGGCTAGCCGAGGTGCTCACTTGGGGGGGGGGCTTGGGGATGTATCCCACAATCCATTGCACTAGAACAGTGAATCATGGCGACGATATATCAGTGTGGGGATTGCAGGAAACTTTCCCCAACACTGATAGATGTATCGCTGCATAGGCCATGTGCAGGTTTTGCGTCTTCTACTAATGTTGATTCTGCAGAAGATGGATACTCATGGGATACTGCAGGAGCTCAGGAAAATGGTATCCGCATTGTATTGCTTTACCATAATCATCTGCTAAGCCTAAGTCTGTCATTAATATTTTGAACGACTGGCAACAAGCCTTGACTTGCGCAATAAACACCACCCCACCATAAGTACACAAAATAAACAAGTAACACACACGTTATTGGTTTGGAGGAATAAACATTTTCCGCAGATTTTAATAATAGCTTGCAAAAACAACTATTGCATAATCAGTTGTTACGTACACGAACAATTCGATAATTGGTCGATATGGCAAGTTTCTGCGGAAAATCACTCCAAACTCCAAACCAAAAAACCGGAACGCAGCGGGATACCGGTGGAGTAGGTACCAGCATGATTGGCACACAACGTGACACGACCCAACACTGTTTGTAATACACTGGTGTGGCAGGCCAGAAAAATGTCAAGGCCATGCAACTGATCACACAAGATACAAGTAATAAACGATGGACATCGAACAGGCATGTAAAGTAAAAACCCCCGTATGGCCCAGCACAACTATGTGGCAGGACCCTAAATTACCGAACAAATACTCAACCAGTAAAAGCATATACACTAACATAATTTCATATGGGCATAGTATACACCAGTACTATATAAAAGGGGGGGGGGTTCCGTCTTACGAAAAACGCTGCTGAATCTCCCGGGCCAAAGTGCTTACGACATGCTGCCTATGCTGGAAGGAGGGATCCAGGTATGACTTGTACGCGTCGCTCCGCCAGTCACCCTGTGATTGTATCAACTCCGGGGAGAGACCATATTCCAGCGCGAAGGAAGCCCCTCCACGCCTAAAACTATGCCCCGAGTAGCGGTCGCTGTCCAGACCCGTGGACTGAAGAGCCTGTCGCAGGCGGCCAAGGAACATGGAGTAAGTGTACGGGCAAGGTCCCCCCGGGGAGGGGAGCATAAAAAGGGGGGTCAGCCTGGGTGGCCAAGGGAGTTAGATGCAATACTAGCAGCAAAGCCTGACTGGGGCATAGTGGTGATCCAGATGAGACGGGATACTAGAGAAGCGTTGCCGAAAGGAGGTGTTTATCGGAAGTGCTGCGCGATCTTGCGCGCAGTTCCGCGGCAAGGCGCACGCGACCGCGGAAAATTCCTACGACAGTATGCAGCGCTGGCAGCTATGGATCCGTGCGCCGAATGCATAGGCCGCGCACGAATCCATAGCTGCCAGCGAACAGTCCGCAATTTTAGTGGGGGACACAGAGGGCAGACATTTGGAACGTGAACAGTGTTCACTTGTTATAAAAACTGTAACCGAGTAATGTGTTCGTAACCGAGCTGTGTCACGCGAAGTCACAGAAAGACTGTAGAAATTCTGACATTCGCGAACCTTGCCCAGTAATGGAAATGGCTGTCAGAATCAGGAAACACCTACCGGCGCTCTTCGTGACCTCATTGTTGCGCCCCAACGCTGGAACGTTTTTGCAACGTTGCAATGGCGAGGCTCGTACAGGAGTTGCAAAGCAGTGCGCCGCCTGCCCGCCGCCTATAGCCCATAGACTGGCACTCGCTCCCACCTCTCGGCTTAGCTTAGTCACTCGATGGCTAATCGAGGTGGGAGCGAGTCCTAGTCTATATAGCCTTTGCACCTCGCAACCTTCTCGAAAGAGAGTAGGCCTATACTAGAAACATTAAGAATTTGGTAGTAAATAGATTTCGTATTTAGTTAGCATTATATTTTATTGAAACGCTTCAAGTGCCTGTGTCTAGTATAGGGGTATTCTAACCCTAGCAAAGAGCGTTTCTTGGAGCTAGTAGTAGTAGTAGTACTAGTACTAGTAGTACTAGTACTAGTACTAGTAATTAGTAATACTATTACTATTAGCTCGGTCCTGCCGTCCTGGTAGTAACTATACTATAGTACTAGTAGTGCTGGTAACTTAGTAGTACTACTACTAGTAGTAGTACTTAATTACTAGTAATTATTGTAACATGTACTTGTAGTAATAGAAGTATTCGTAGGTGTGGAATGTACCAAAGTCTAAGTTATAGCCGGCCGAGCAACACGCGAACTGTAAACAAACATCAATCAACGGGCTTAGCCAATGAACGTGAAGGGAACCAAGATGGCTACGATAATTAAAAGCCCACGTCACGATTCCAGCTAGACTCGTACGGGCCAAGTATCTTTGGCTACACTAAAGTTATAGTTAGTGGAGCGTGTCAAACTCTCCACCGCGGGGCAGTCTAAGCCTATTCGCCGTTACTTCTGTCGAAAATTCTCTGGAAAATCCCTCGAAGAGAGCCTCGTCGCGCCATCTATGGGACGCCATATGTACGAGAATAACTTCAGGTTATTAAATAAAATAATTAAATAAATTCGAAATCGCTTTTCTAGAGGAAAACCTAACGCGCCAACCAGCAAGTTAGCAATTACGAGCATTTGCATTTATTCTCGCCCTACGTGCATAGTCGAAAGGCTTCTGCAAGCGCCACAACTCCTCAATTGACCGATTACAGGCCGATCTGACAGAATCGTGAAATTGTTCTAAATACAGAGCAGCGAATTCGATGAAAAGGCGCCGCGAGGCGGCGCTGTTCGCGCTTCGTGCGGATATCCGGGCTGCAGATCGTCCAGCAATGCGGGGGAGGGGAATGAGTAAATCCCGTTGTTGGTACTGGATGGTCTTGGACCAGGAGAGAGACAGGGTGGCCCCCTCAGGAGAAAAAGAAACAGAGCAACGACAGAGGTGAGGGGAATGGCCCGATGATGGGGGGGGGAAAGGACTTGCGGAAAAAGGACTTGCGGAAAAAGGAGAAGAAGGCCACAAGCGGCCCAGAAATTGAGATCCTTGGGGTTCCCTAGATGGAGTGAAGCAAAGATTTGCTTCAAGATTGGGGGGGTGATGGGAAGTTTACGAGCCAGCCTATCCCCCAGGACCCGTTTTGCCCCCTGTAAAATCCCTTGAATGAACGGAGACCTGACTGGGTTGGGATGACCCGCTTCCAGGTGGAGCAGGCCGACGATGGAAAAATAATTGTGCACCGATTTGAATTTCAGACTTGCTGCAATGTGAGCTATGTACCTGGCCAGGTTACATAGGGAAATGGGAACGGGGGGGGATATGCAAAAGTCTACAGAACCGAAGGTATGATGACAGATACTGCATGTACGTCTTCTTGGTGGATTCCACAAACTGGTGATTTCTGAAGTTATGTACAGTCGCGTCCAGTGAAGCCACCACCCCCCGGTCGGGTGTCCCTGGAAAACAGAAAATGGAAGGTGCTGGTAGACATGTGACCCAGGGGGTGATGGGGGGGGTATATACGGGCTGGAAAGTGCATGGGGCTCGTGAAGTCGCGACAACGCGTCAGCTAAACCGTTGTTTTTCCCCGCCACGTGTCGCGCCGTGAGGTGAAAATTGTGCGTAGCAGAAAGCCAGAACAGGCCCCGTAAAAATGCCATGAGTTGTTTGTTACGAGAGGAACCCTTGTTAATGCACTGGACAGTGACAGAGTTGTCGGAGTACAAAACGACGCAGCGGTTACTCCACGAACAACTCCAGCGCATGGCCGCGATCACAACAGCGAGTGCTTCTTTTTCATTTATGTGAAAATTGTTCGCGACAGGTACATCCTGCTCCCTGTTGACATAAAACCAATCATCACCCCAGTGACCCCCTGCGCCTTGAGAGCACGCGTTGGTATAGACGTCTGTGATCGGGCGTTTGTCAAGCAGCAGCGATTTCCCATTGAAATGAGACATGAACGCTTGCCACCAGGTGATATCGCCCATGATATCACCCCGGAGTAAAGTTTTGTGTGCGCTATGCTTAAGGGCACTGTACGCGTTGATTAAGCGACGAAGGAATGCTCTCCCGCCGTAAACAACAGCCGAAGCCCAGTTAAGCTTGCCGACTAGCGATTGCAATTGCCGTTTTGATACGCGCTTGAGATTTGCGAAGCTTGCGAACTCATCTTGCAGTGCAATGAGCTTGTCCCTCGGCAGGGACAGTGACATGTCGAGTGAGTTGAGTTCTACACCCAGAAAAACTACACGCTGCGAGGTGTCAACTACTTTTCCCCAATTTATAGCGAAACCCAACTTGCGCAGCAGATTAATAAGCACATTTAGGGCCTCACAACACCGGGAGTGTGTAGCTTCGCAGAGAAAAAAATCATCAATATAAGCGATTATCGTGAAACTCTTGCGAAACATCATGCGTCTCACAGCCTGGGAGAGGCGGTGAAAAATGCCTGGTGCCAGCTTGCTACCGAAACTTGACTTTTTATCAAACAGGGTTCTTTCCCCCTCGGGGAACATCCAGCGAAATCCGGTGACACGCTGGCTGTTTTTACTTATCGAAACACTGCGGTAGGCTGAGCTCAAATCCACCTTTGCCATGAAACAGCCTGGTTTTACTAATTTCGCTGCGTCATCCACTGTCTGAAAACGCTGTTTTTCCATAGAAAATACATAATCATTTACAGCTAGACCATGGGGCCGAGAACAGTCGTGAATAATTCTAACGGAGCCATCAGACTTTGGAATTGCCCCCATAGGACTGACAATGAGAGGTTTGCCATTGGTAAAAGCACAATTCCCTTGTTCAATTTCATTTCGAACCTGAGAAGTAGCTTTCCGAAACAGTGGAGAGCCCGGGCTGGCAGATGGGTGATTCTTCTGCTCTGAGGGCACCGGATTTGCAGTGGGATCAATTATATCAAACCCGTGACGTATGCCTTGCAAAATAAAATCTTTGTCCGGTTCGCTACCTAACTCCCCCTCCCAGACTGAGAGCCGGAGTCCGAACGAGGGCTTCACGGGTTGAAGTTTTTTGGCTGACTGCCATGGAGATGACGGGGATGCTTCTGAAAACACCCCGGCGTGGAACAAGCATGTTCATACTTACAAGTGGCAAAATTACACCCCTGTGCCGCATTGTACTTTTTGCAAATTTCCCGACCTTGGGGGGTATGAGATGAACGAGGTGTATACGCAAATTGCGGGGCTGACTCTGTTCGAATGGAAGAGACAGAGGGACGGGGCCCCTTGGGTTTAAGGTAAACTGTGGCCAAATGGGGGACATCTGAACCCCAGCGAAATCCGTGGGTACTTTGCTGTCGTCTATACTCCCTATCATACAGCAGCACAGAGGTGTACTCAAACACACCCACTAGTTGATAAACCCTGGTGGTGTAAGACAAGTAGTCCAACGTGAACTGGGAATGATTTCCCCCCGACTGCTCTAACATTTTATACAAAATAGCTATGTTAGCGACCGACCACTGACTAAGGGTTACACTTTCTAGGCGTGGTTTACCAGGGCCAGCCTTATAAACTAATTGCCCACCGTCGATGGTGGACACCACACTTTCCTGCGACACTGAGCTAGCATTGACAAAATCCACAATGTCTAAGTACTTATCAGTCGGCTTAGATACTAAAGATTTTACATAGACTTGAGGGTCCTGCCACGACGGAATAGAACACTGTAACTGCTGAGCCACACCTTGAACGTCCCCTTGCTCCTGTTGTCCCTGGCTTGATTGTAGCTGAGATATGATCTGCCTAACGTACGGGTCCGTTGGCTTTGTGACCTCGGCCTGGGCGCCGCTATCTTGGGGAGGCTGCGCAGTAGATTCCGCGGGGCCTGCTTGGGTGGACTCGATTGGCACCGTGTGCGTGCCTTCGGAGGCGGCAAACGTTTTTGTTACGGCACGTAGCACCAGCCTGATTTGTCCAATGGGGATCTTGTTTTTCATAGACTTGAGGTCGTCAAACGTGAGGAGTGCCAGCGCCTCCATGCATGTATACCCGTTGGTGATGATGGCATGCACCATTTCGGGTGCCAGTTTGTGGACAGATCCCCACATTTCAACCCTCTGCGTGTCGGAAATTTCGGTAACGTTATCCTCGTCGTCCATCTCGGATGTAATCCTGGATATTTTACGTCAAGAGTTCCGTTTTTGTGGCGATTACGGGTTGCCTGTTCACAGACGACTGGGCCAAATCACGTAGCCGGTGTTCTCCGTCTTACGTGAGTACGTACGAAGCAGGGAGACGGAAATATTCTCGAACGTCCGCCATTGCCCAAATAAAAAGTTTTCCCTACACAAAGGGAAAACGAGATGGCAGCTTCAGGAAAACCCACGCTTCCTAGATGGGTATCGATGATTTCACATGCCACTATATATATATATATATATGTAGTCCCTATAACACAATATATATGCAGGCGCCAAAATAACACTTTTGTACGCAAACAAAGACAGGTGTTGATGCTGCGACCAACATATTCGAATGCGCCGTTCGAAAGCCGAGCGGCATGCTACCCTGCCGAAATCTGATTGGCTGTGGTAGGTCAGACCACCGCTGTGATCGGTGCGCATATAAAACCCCGGTTGCAGCGCCCCCAGACGTGAACGGGGGAATACAAATGTGCGGAATACGTATGCGAGGCTGACCAGCTCTGTACAAGGTCTGTAAACAATGGCGATCTCAACGATACTATTAATAACACATTAAACAAACATTTAATGTTTACAATACTACTGTACACTGACTGTATACTATAGCAATAATCATTCATCTAAAAACACGTTTGAAACTTTCATATTTCAATGCAAGCAGTATCTAGCGAATTGCTGTTGACCCACGGGCACCTGTAACGCTGTTCTACATACCATTACCTACGATAATTGACATGTATGATGTAAATATTCATATATAGTATTACTATTACTATTAGTAATACTGTATACATAGCCTAGGTAATGGTGTATGTTGAGAAGCGTTACACGTGCCCGTGGTTGACTAAACTGCCTCCTATTTTCACATTTAAAACACATTATCTGTGACTGTATAATTATTATCTTTTATATAGATATACATACTTTTCGATATAAAATATTATCTGTACCTATATGTATTCATTTTGTAATGTTCATTTTGAATATATAATTAATTTAATATTATCTGTGATTCTGTGCAATAAACTTAATTTGGGGTGTATTTGATTTTGAATTTTTGAAAGCAAGATTATCCACCATTATTATATTGTAACGTCCCCCTCTCTCTCTTGTTTTCCTTAAGCGCTCTTTCTCTCTCTCTACTTGCGCCCTCTATCCCTTTTACAGGAGCGTAGCCCTAGATGTGTCGACGTTACCCGCACTTCTATGCTCACTCCTGGCCTTGCGTTGTGTACTTTTAGATTCGTATCGCTGGATTGTGCGAGAGACGTTTGTATCGAGCGTTCGGAGCACGCGTGAGGGGATGACTGTCTGATTATTGTTTATTGTTTCTTTGGTATATCGTCGAGTTTATATTCATGTGTTGTCGCGATGGGCAATGAACCATAGGTTCTTCGCCTGATAATTAAGCTGCGCACTTTATGTTGTAATTTGTAATACTTTATGTTTTACTTTAGTCTGTCGTCTGTCTCCTTTTTCGGGTGTGTCAGTAAATAGATGTCCAGATGTAAGAGGAAGAGTGATATAAATTTAGGAACGATAGCCCCTTAACTCCGGGGCTACGATTTATTCACAAACCCTTGAATACACACATCTATATATACATATACACGGTGCCGATGAGTCCAGATTCTTGACTCGATACCCGTAGAAAGAAGCCAACGCACAAGAGTAATTTTAATGTAATTTTAGAGGTTGACTCAGGGGTCCAGAAGCTTGACTCCTGCTAATTCTATGCTCTCTTGACTCAAAAACGGGAGCTTGTAGCTCTTTATAATTATATTAATAGAAGTGTCTTGACTCAAAAACGGGAGCTTGTAGCTCTTTATGCTAACAGAAGTGGCTTGACTCAACTAGTAAATATTTTATTAGTCAACACGCCCAGTAAATTCAGCCGAGTGATGAGCCTAAGGCTCTTTCAGCTCCTAACCTGGTAGTGTTACAACCGGCGAACGACTCCTCGCGCGTACCGCGTACAGCTATATTTATATAAAATATTGTTAGATCGGCAGGGATCACCGGAAAACGATACTATTACATCTGTATTATTCCCGTCTGTTATAATCTATCACATATCGATTTTATTGCCAACTATCATTTAACCAGATGTACTATTTAAGATTTATACGATATTATAGTTTAAATACAAGAATCTTCATTTAAAACAATATAATTATGCTTCCGGTTCAGTCTCCTTGCGAGCCCCGCGATCACGCGACTATCGGTTACCACGCAACTGACAACAACTTTCAGCATTTCCAGCGCGTCAAGACTGAGTCAGTGCGTCAAGCTACATTACTGCAATTATCTTGACTCATTGACTCAAATTACAGCATTACCGTACATATACAGTGTTATCCAACGACAAGATGAACTATAACCAGCCAACAACCCAGTTAATGAACAGATCGTGTCGCTACAGTACTTTACAATACTACGGTGAGAATTACAGCTACCCCTATATACACGCGTTGATTCTACAGTAGGCTGAGTATTGATCCGTTGGCCGACCGCCCAACTGCTAATAATGTAATATGAGAAATTACGGTTACTGTAGTTTACTTCTAACAATTTATAGTGACAGTTAAATTTACTACTGATCCCTCGTTAACCCGGACTAGAGCAAGAGACAAATATATATTAGTGCTGGAAGAGCAAAGTCGTTACACTCTCCCCTCCTTAAACACTGCGCGTCCTCGTGCAGGCCACTGACCTATACAATCTCATCGTTATTAAATATCCCTCCTACATACACACATACCCAAAACATCAATGTAATGACCCACCAAAATCGTCTAAAGGGTCGAACGACTCGTCTGAAAAGGTTGAATGTAACATTACAATATAAGAAAACAATACATACTCATGACCCCGTAAGGGTCCATGACAATTACAATGTAACAATGTAACAGTGTAGCCACCGGGTGAATTTACCACTTACCAAACATTACCTTATGATTATTTACAGTGTCCTGATGAAGGCTTGCCTATAATACAATGAAAATTACATCCCAAGTTAACCCCCCAGTTACTAACTTTCTTACACCTTCTTCTGGAGCTTGCCCTCCTTCCACTCCAGGTCCGTTGGCAGCTCGCAGAGTGGTAGTCCCTCCTCGTCAAAGATGGCGACCAGGTATCTCTGTTCTCTCAGGTAGCTGAGGCAGCGGCCGAGGGTCAAGGGGGCAGGGGTTGAAGCTTTCTCCAATTTCGCCTTCACCTCATCTCTCTCCTGGCCTATCTTCTTTAACTCCCTGCTCACCTGAGCCATGGTCGCCACCTCCTCCTGCCTCTGCTTGCAGCGTTCCTCTGCTTCCTGCTGCAGTAGTCCGTCCTTGATTACGTCGTATGCCCGGCGGGCGTCTTCTTGCCGGCATAGGGCCGCCGACATCCTGCACATTGCGTCGGTGACGATGGCGTCATCGTG